AAGGTTTCAGGCTTTTGCTTAGAATTTTATTTTAGGGTTTCACATTAATATTTCAAGTTCACATTAAGGCTCTGAGTTTCATTTTAGGGTTAAAGGTTTCTCTTAGGGCTTCGGCATTTCGCTTATAGTTTAAGGTCTCACCTAGGGTTTCACGCTTCACTTATGATTTAAGGTTTGATTTTATGTTTTGTAAATTTATGAACCTCTCTAAAAATCTCTAACATCTAGATAGATTTTTGAAGTAAGCTTATTTTTCATAATTTCTTAAAAAAAAGAATTTTTATATTTTATATTATTTTTTTCATTAAAAATTTATTATTATTATTTATTTATCTTTTATTATTTTAATTTTATTATTTAATAATTCTCCAACATCTAGGTGAAACTATTTTAAAATATAATTCTTAATTCCCTTCAACGTCTAGGCAAGAATTTTAAAATTTTATTATATATATTTTAAAAAAATTATTATCATCATTAGGTTTTGCATAAATCTAAAAATATATGGGAAGTAAATTATATTCAAAGTATGGAATTAAAGCATAAAGAATTATATTGCATAAAAATTAAAATAGACATTGAAATGTGATCAACAAGGAAATTGAAAATACATGAAACTTAAATTATAACCAAGCTCAACCAAGATAAAAAATGTGCATGAACGTAAATATGAAAACATGAAAATAAACTTTAAAAATAAATTTTTAACCTCATGTTTTAAGTCTTTGTTTATTAACAAAAAAAAAAAAATCAAATATGTATATAAAATCTGGTTTACTCCTTATATGGTTTCCTAAATGCATTTTCTTTTGAATAAAAGCTTGTCTTTTAGTTAATTCCCAAATAGGTGTAAGCTACAAGAGAAAGTATACCCCATGTAGGAAAGATAAAGTCATGCATGAAATGAAGGCTTCTGCTTCTGTAAACAAAGCCGTTGAACCAAAAAAATGAAGAAAGAAAAAAAATAAAAAAATAAAAATAAATGAACCTTGACTTCATGCAACCTTAATATATTAATTAAAATGCAAAGGAAATGATAAGGAAAAATAAGGCAAGTCCAATGTAAAGCATGAACTTCATGCTAACAGAACATGATAGAGCTTTAAGTTCATACCAAATGATTTCATGCAAAAAAAAGACACCCAAAAAAAGTCAAAAAATATATTTAAAAGAAAGAGAAAATGAGTGAGGGGTTATGTGTGTGTGTGTGTTTTTTTTTTTTTTTGCTTTTGCTCAGCTTTGATTTTCTTTTTTCTTGTTTTTGCTAAATCGTGTTTGTTTTTCTTTTAGTTATTTCACGCCCTTTTTTTGTTCATTATTGCTTCTTGTATTTTTTTCTTTGGGTTTTCTTTTTTTACTACTATTTTTAGTTTGTTCTTCTTTTTTTTTTGCTTTTTTTTTGTTGGTTTTTTGTTGTCCTTTGCTAGCATTCTACCTAGCTTTTCTTTTTTACTTCTAGTTTTTCTTTATCTTTTCACTACTACCTAGTTTTCCTCTTCTGGTATTCTGCTAAGTTTTTTTTTTTGTTTTTGTTTTCTGCCTCTTTCTTATGTTCATCCTTTCTCCAAATTTCTCTCTTGCCTTTCTATTTTGATTCCTCTTTTGTTGCTTGTGTTTTTCTTTGGATCATGCCTTCTTCAACTTTTTTTTTGCTTCTGCAGTTTTCATTACTACCAATATTTGGCTTGTTGTTCTATTCTGCTTTTCTTTTTTTTGCTGTTATTTTTTCCCTTATTCTTTTTCAATTCGTTTCTTATCTTTGGTCTCTTTTTTATGGTTTTTATGCTTTGTTTCAAATGCCTTTTTTCTTTTTGAATGCTTTTTTTTGCTAGTTCTATCCTATTCACGTCTTTTCTGCCTCATGCTTTAAGCTTTTTCATTGCTTTTGAGTTTTTTTAGTTTCTTTTGTCACCTATCCCACCTTTTTTTGCTAGCTTCACTGTCTCTTTGTTTTTGTTCCCATTTGTTGCCTTTAATTTTTTTGAAGCCCTCATGTTGCCAGTTACTTCATACAGTACCTTTTATCATTTTTTTAATGTTTTCATGTCCCTAGCTTTCCATCATTGTCACGTTTGATAGTCACCAAGCTTTCTTCAAGCCTTTCCCTTACTCTTCCATAGCTTTCTATCATTGGGATTTAAAAATACTTTTTAAAACCCCTTGAACTTGAAACCCCCAAAACTACCAAACAAATACATCTTTAGGTTATGAAATGTGCATTAAGCATGCTTGCATCCATCACTTTGATGTTGTTTTATTCCCCCATCTTTCTCTTTTCAAATTATGGTATGATTCCAAATAAACTATCAGCATAAAATAATGATTTTTGCACTTAATAGTGAAATGTAAAATAGTAAGATAAAAAAACTGAGTGATGCTTTAAGTTACTGACATATTGCCTTCAATCTAGATGAACACAACTCGTGCATAGCAACTAAGTGTAAAAGATATTCTCATCATGTCTTGTTTAAGACAACGATGAAAAACTAAAGATGGGTATTTTGGGACTTGGAGTGTACATTTTGTTTGGTGATTTTGGAAGTTTCAGGTTCTAAGCGATTCTAAGAAGTATTTTTGCAATTCTAATGTGGAAACTCGACGAATTTGTAAGGGTAAGGATTGATGAAAGTTTGGTGACCATTGAAAGCGGCAACAACTGCGATCTAGGTTTTTAGGATTTAATTTTTTTTTTGCTTTTAAAAAAAAAGAATTTTTTTGAGAAATGTATGCCATTAGATTTGTAACGAATATTGACGGGGGCTTTTAGTTAAATTTTGATGACATTCTGACATTGATGAATAGTGGTAGATCAATAGAATCTAGGTTTGTATGTTGCCAGAACATTAAATGGATTTTTTCACAATTACTTCTTTAACTAATAAATTTTTAAAATTATATTTAATGAAAAAAAGATGACATGAATTTATTGTTATGCCACATGGCATTTTAATAAATTCATATCATCGAAAGCTTCATTAATGACTAATCAAAATGCCATGTTAGTAAAATGAATGATTTTATTAACATTTTTAATGGAAGAATTTCACAGAAAATATACTCTCTTATTCTTAAAAATAAGTGAAAGTTTTTATTATTTTATCTGTAGGTAAATAATGCATTTTCAATTAAATCAATGATTAAAATTTAATGATTTTAAATGAAATATAAAAATAGTTAAAAAAATAAAAATGATTTGAGCAAATATTAATTATAAATTTAGTTAAAAGAGAACTTATTACCCTTAGATAAAGTAGCAAAAACTTTCATTGATTTTTAAGTAATAGAGATGATCTTTTCTCAAAATTTTGATAAGATTAATGATTAGACCAACATTACCGAATCAATTTAGTCTTAAGATAAGATTTTTATAAATTATATTAGAAGAAATATATTTCAAACTTATATGAAAACGAGAATTGATTGCATATATAATTTGACCTAAAGAATTTTTATAATTTATTTATTTATTTTTTAAATTTCTAATATATCCTTAAACTCCTTATCTTATTATTTATCTGGCTGAAAAGAATATTACGCACATAAACTTTTTTGAATCCGTAACTTTCAAATGTCAACTCTAATAACATACTAATTGATTCAAGGTATAATATGCAAACATTTAAGCTACTTAAACTATTTTTTCTTACTCATTTTAACTATAAAAACAAAGAAATATCCTTTCCTTTTCGAGGGATGAAACATATTTTCCTTTTCCTTTGAAACCGTCTTTTTTTTATTTTTATCAACTTCAATTCAAACATAGCGTAATTAAAAGTAAAATAAGGATAGAAAAGTTTCCAATAGAAATAAAATGCTAAAGGGCTTATGTAAAGTTAGTAAATTGACCCAAATTCAAAATATTTAATTTCAATCTAACATGATTCAAAATTTTTAAATTCAAATTTACTTAAAATAAAATAATTAAAAATAAGTATAATTTTAATTAAAGTATAAATTAAATAACATAATTTAAAATTAAATTAAGTATAATTTTATTTTTTAAAATATTAACTTATTATAAATACAATATAAATTATTTTTTATTTTTGCATTCTAACAACAGAGATGGTATGGATATAAAGCAAACTCACCAGAAAATAAATTAATTTAAATTAACATAATTAAAAATAATTTAAGAAGATTTTTGTTTTTTAAAATATTAATGCAATTAAAAATAATAAATATAATAATTTTTTATTTTTCTCTAAAAAAGTAATAAAATAAAAAATTAAATAATTAATAATAATCCAATATAACTAATTAGTAAAAATATCAATTTTAAGATTATATATAGATTTATGGATTGTTCTTTTTTCTTCTTCATGTGCTACTGCAATAATTACTTTCTGATATTATTAAAATTTTAATTTCTTTTATGCGTTTATTTTTTTCTCTCTTGCATGAACTCTCTTGTGAGAGAAAAGAAGTGGAGAAAGAGACAGAAGATACAAGCCACGCCATCAATCAAAAATGTTTCTATATGCACCAAAAAAAAGACTTCTCTACACTTTAATTTTTTATTAGTAAAGTATTTTAAAGAAATTATTTAATTAATTTTTGATAAATTATTTTTCAATTATTTATACATCTATTTCAATTTGTATTTTTGAAAATTTTTAAAATTTTTTTGTTTTGTAATTTTGAAAAATTTTAAAAGATTTTGAATTTGGATACTTTGAAAGTTTTATTTATATTTCTTAAAAGTTTTTTGAATTTACATTTTCAGTAGGTTTTAAAATTTTTTAAATTTTAACATTTAAAAATGTAAATTCGGAATTTATGATTTTAGGCGCAATTTGAAAATGGAGATGGAAAGTGGAGAAATTGAGTGCTGAGTATTAAAAAATAAGAAAAATGTAGAAATTGGATGTAATGAATAAAAATATTAGTTTATGTTTTAAATTTGAGATTGCGTTAGAAATTGAGTGTGAGGAGGAAATGTTGGGGTGTCCTAATATAAAAGCATACAGATTGATGGTACGTATTAAAATAAAATTAATTGAAAATCAAATACGTAGTAATTTGTGTCCGATTCCGCTCAAGCTTGTATCATCGTTGAGAAGGCATTTTCATTTCGTTTCAATTTGAATCCCTGTCTCACATTTCAACTTCATTTGGTGTAAATTTCATTTCAATTTCCACTCGTAAGCATATTTTATAACCCGTGAAAATTTTCCTTTCCCTATTGTACTTGTCCGTAGCACTAGGTGTCGAGCGAGGCTGTGGGGAATCTTGTAGTTTGAGTTGATCTGGTGGGGAAAGGTGATCATCAAGTAATTGCATCGACGCTGCTGTTGCCGATTTTCTTCAACTGGAGGCTTGTACCTTCCTCCTTTCTCCTTCTGAACTATCGTTTTATCTTTTGGGTTTGTATCCCAATTTGATTGTTGGATTTTGACTGCTGTTTAGGGTGATGTATTTAGGGTTTAGGGTTTAGTTTTGACACGGATAGATATCAATTAAGGATTATTTCCGATGGTTTCCGGCGTACATCTTTTTATTTAAGTTGAGATATCCACTCCATTGTTCACTCGCTCTCTCTCTTCGTTAAGTGTTGATCAGGTAAACTCTATGAGAAATCAAGTAACTTAAAGCTCCTTAACCCTTTCGACTAAATTTAAAGAATCTTACCATTTTGAATATAAAAGGAATGTTACCGTTAAGTGATTTGCTTCTAGTTTTACATCAGTTTAGATAGTTCTCATTTCAATGCCATTGATGAGAAGATTTGAATGATTTTGATATGCAACTTCCATAGCCATGTCTCTGCTTGATTGTAACTAATCAATTGTAACAGCTGGTAGAATGCAAGGGGCAGTTCAAGCTTTTTTGTTACAGGGAAATACCGTAAAAAACGCTGTCTTGCAACGCATTCAGGTGGTCAATCCAATAATGCCACCCATTATATTTTGCCGCTTTAAATTAGTTTCATCTGCTCGTATGGAAGAGCATGGCTTTGAGAGTACCACTATTGATGATATTTTGAAGGCAAAAGGTAAAGGTGCAGATGGCTCTTGGCTTTGGTGCACTACAGATGACACTGTATACAATGCTGTGAAGTCGGTAGGCATCTATATGATTTTCATAAAATCTCAAAACTGTCATTAAATACTTGATATGCATGCATAATTAATTCATTTCTTTTCAGATGACTCAACACAATGTCGGTGCTCTGGTGGTTGTAAATCCTGGGGAGCAGAAATCAATTGCGGGTATCATCACAGAGAGAGGTATCTAAACAAGTGTACCTTTATAAGATCAATTAGGCACCAAGACATTTCAAATTTTGAATGAATGAAGTATTTAGTATTTTCCTGTACCTACAGGGTTGTGGGAGGGATGGAAAAAAAATTCATGGTTTAAGAATCTTCCTATGCTAGGTATTTTCTGTTATTGGTCAAGCAATATTATTAGTCGGAGAGAATTGGACAAACCTAAGGATTGTATGATTCAAACGGCTTTAAAACCTATAAGCTAAAGCCTGTTAATATTTGGTTTGTCCCATCTCAATCTCACTCTTGTTTATTTTGTTTCTTAACCTTCTTTTGCCATTGCATGCATTTAATGCCATTACTTTGGTGTGAATTCTTATTTGTGTCATGTCAGACAGTCAATGCTGCCCCTTTACTCGAGCATTGCATATACCAAATTTAGAGCCCCATCAAATTCTTTTGGTTCCACTAAGATTGTAGTTTACTTCGTCTTGCTTCAACTATCAAGAAAAGATTTTGAAAGATTTTGTGGTTTGGTGCCATTCTGCATGCTAGTTTATTTATGTTCTTTGATGATATAACTTTCAGATTATCTTAGGAAGATAATAGTACAGGGAAGATCATCCAAGTCAACTAAAGTTGGGGATATCATGACTGAAGAGGTATTAGTTTTGCTTTTAATTTAGAAAATTTTTTGGTTTACTTCTATCATATGTGGCTGATTGTTTAGAGGTGCTTTTATACCACTGCTTCTATTGGCAATTCTAAGATTCCATTATATGGTGGTTGTAGAACAAGCTTATCACGGTCACACCTGAGACCAAAGTTTTGCGAGCAATGCAATTGATGACAGGTACAATCTGCTGCTTCTAGGACATTTGTTTCTGGTGTTCGTTGGGCTGTCCCTTGTGAAGCTAGTTGTAAGCTGTAACCCGTGGTATTTTGGCAGATAACCGGATCAGACACATTCCAGTGATTGATGAGAAAGGAATGGTCGGCATGGTTTCCATTGGAGATGTTGTTCGTGCTGTGGTGATTGAGCATCGTGTGGAGTTGGACCGCTTGAATGCTTACATACGGGGAGGTTACTAGATGATGAGAAATGTTGTATGTTTCAACTGTTAATATTGCTTACTTGTTGGACGTATATAAGCATGTGGAGAGCTTGTAAATATGCTTTGTGTTTTGTGCATTTCTGTCCTGTTGCTTTATCACTACCGCATGTCAATATGCAGGGATGTGTAATAGTATCGTGTGGAATAACTGTAATAATAAGCATTCTCATGTTGCTTCGTATATGTTCGGAGTTGCTATTAATAAGTTACTATCACAGCATGAGTGGAAAGTATATGGCAACATTTCAATACCTAAACATTCACTTCATCTAATAATTTCCTTGTTTTAGTAGCAAGGAGGAGATCTTAAAACTTTAAGGTTTTAGATTCAAGTTTCATTGTGTGAGGATTTGGTTGTTTAGTTAAATTATAATTTATTAATTGATTATAAAGTGATGTAATAGTTAATTATATGAACGTAATGTTTGATTACGAGTGTCGTTTACAAAAAAAAAAAAAAAAAAAAAACTCAACATTAGATATCAAATATTGAATTATATCAATCTAATAATGATAATCTGGGGCATAGAAATTTTAAATTTCACTATAGTCTAAATATAAGATAAATCATTCATTAATATCATCAAATAAATTGACTCTATTGATATGAAAATTTAAAGAATTAATATATAATATAGGAAAATAATTTGGAGTCAATATAGAGTTAATGAAAAATAAAAATTTCATAAATAGTAGTTAAGACAAGAAAAATATTAGTGCTATTTATGCACTAGCTTTTTAATGCTACAAGTTACTTTTAATTTTACCAACTGTAATTATACAAAAAATAATATTTTCTTTATGAATTTATTAATAAAAGAGAAATTACAATTGCATTCAAGTATTACATATAAAAAGTTAATAAATGACATAAAATAAACAAACTAAACAAATAAAAACCAGCATATAATTGGATAAATTTAAAATAAAATAAAATAAAATCTAAATATATGATAAGATTTGATCATGAGAACTCATCATTGCAAAATCTTCTCATTGCCATTAAGCTAAGATCTCATTGGCGATATACAAATATCATTTTTAGCAATGAACAAACTAAATGATTTGTTACTTAAATTAGAGATAGCATAGTGAATAATTGATCGATTACATATATAGAAGAAATTCATTTGATATATTAATGATGGATTTCAAAATATGTAAAACTCTTGGGGTCAATTATAAAAAAAAAAATTTTATATTGAAAATTTTATTTTTAATTATTATCTATATTGATGACTAAATTTTTAAATTTCACAAGCAAAATTAGATAATCACTATATCTTTATTTAATAATTTAATAATTATTATTATTTAAATATATATTAATAGATACATGTTCACTCTTTAATTTCACTTGTGAAATTTAAAACTTCACTGTCATACAAAATAATAATCCTTTTCTTTTTGCTATTCGTATTTAATCTACATTATTATTTAAAAAATTTGTATGAAAAATTTTATATTTATATATCTTTATATTTTAAAACATAATCTTTTAGTTCTTTTATTAGTATTTTTTTTTATTTTCATGAATTAAAAAAATAATAAATGATTAAAAAATAAAGAATACCAGGTGTTTCGAAAAAGAAAGAAAATATAATTTTAAGATATTTAACAAAGAAAAAATAAATAAAAATATAATGAAGAAGTGTAATTACTTTTTGAACCAACTGAATAATATTGCTGATTATACCACTGATGATGATGATGATGATAATAATAATAATAATGATCTTGTTTAAATGCACAAAAAATAAATCTTCACACTTTTTTTTTCTTAGTTTTTTTTAATTAAATTTTCTTAGGTCTTTCTCGTGTTTTCTTTTTCTCTTTCTCACTCTTTTCATGCTGTTCTGTCAAAATTTCTAAGGACTGAAGTGAAAATTTTTCTTCAGGCAAGAGTTTCTTTTATTGCCATTTTTTTCCTCTCTTTGCTTTTGCTCGTGACGTTTTCAGTCTACTATTCTGATGTTCTCAAATGATGCCGTATGGTAATTAGTAGAAGTAGTCGTGCGACAAGCCAACCTCCGTGTTGCATAAGGTTATAACTTGGGCAGGCAGCTACATTTTCAACTTGGCTCTTTGAGTTTCTAATTCTCCGAGTACATGGCCAGCGCTCCATGTTGTTTTCTAATATATACGTTTGCACAAAATGTCTTTGATGCAATTTCGTCTCACAGTCTTTCCATAAGAGCAGTATAGTAGATTTGCCTTCCTTTCCCCCAGCTTTTACATCCATGATTGGCAAACTCAGTTCAAGTAAAGAATTTCATTGGCTAGCACCATACTCTTTTGGCATCTTCACATGCAAACTAGAATGTATATTAATATGCTTTTGCTTCTACCAGAGACACCGTTGGTGGATTGGAGCTTTTTCAGATCTTTCTTCTTTGTAGATTTTGGTTCCATGGCTTTTAGCTATATTTAAGATCCATTTTCGTACATTTCTTTTTAATTTTTTTTTATAAATTCAATATAATTTTGGCACTCAGTAAGCATCCTCAGTCCTTTAGTATTCATGTTACTTATTTTTTTGCATAAATCTAGTTAATAGTTACGTATATTATTTTTCAGATAATGCATGATTATAGTTGTACAAATTAAAATTGGGATTGTTTAGATTGCTTCAACATTCCATTCGGACAGTTTCTGGATTTTGATTCAGATCTTGTGGCTTAGGGTTTGATATTTGCAATCAAGAAATTTAAAGTGAGAATAGTGCTGGACAGTATCTATTAATGGAGAGGAAGAATTAATATGGAAAAAAAAGAAACATGTCCCTTCCTTGAGTATAACCCCATTGGAACCATAAAAAGGTTTGGGAAACTTAAAGTATATACAGCTCCAAACGGAATGACAAAAAGATTTCAATACCTTTGGAGTCGTACCCCATCCCACTAGCTTAAATTTTGAATTTTGATAGTCAAAAGTTATCCATATCTGCATCTGATGTCCTTGCTCAAGTTGGAGCAGTTTATTATGTTTGTTTTAAGTCCCCAAAGCTTGTGGGAGACATTTCTTCTTATCGTAAGGCTTGAAATATAATGAAGTTATATACAAACTGATTTAAGATCATATTTAAACCTTTCTATCTTAGATTTGTTGGGCCTAAAACAATGAACACAATAACGCATAAGCAATATATCGCAATAAACTCACAGTAATAGACAACAATCAATAATCAATAATATAGGAAAAATAAAGTACATTAAAATTTATGTGAAAAATCCTCCAGTATAGAGGGAAAAATCATATACTATAAAAAGATCTCCACTATCAAATAATGGATATACAAAGTTATTCTCTAGCTAAAACTAGAGTTAATCAACAACTAGAGAGACAATTGGAGAAATTTCACCAAATAAGTGACTCAATAAATACACCATGAATTTGTTCCTAGAGAGCTTTAAACCCGATCTTCACTATTCAAAATGTAAAACTCTGAATCATAAACCTACTGACAAAGTTTTAGCTCAATTGGACCACATATCAACTTTCATTCAACCAACTCTCCCTTCTTCCTTTTCTCTCTATTTGCCTGGCTTCTTTTTTCTTCTTTCTTTTTTTGGTTTGTGACACCACCTTAAAATAGCCCAACTTCTTTTTATTAAGTAGCTAAGGCTCTGTGTAAAATGAAAAATCAAGGCCTATGGCCTTTGATTGGTCAAAAACCAATTACATGGGGCTGGACCCTATTTTCTTAATAATCTCCTCTTCCAGCCCCATTAAGAGGAGATTCATCATCATAGCAGTTTCATTTGAAACTTATTTTGGCCAAAGAACTCATTTTGGCCAAGTTATTGCAGAGCTCAAGTTTTTTCTTGAAAAATATCTTAGTCAACATATCTGCTATATTCTCATTAGTATGGACTTTCTTTAACAATATTTGATGTTCTTCAATCACTAAATGTAACCAGTGATATCTAACATCAATGTACTTTGTTCTAGCATAGTACATGGCATTCTTACTCAAATCTAAAGCACTATGACTATCACAAAACACTATATACTCTTTCTGATTCAACCCTAATTTAAGAAGAAAACGTTTCATCCAAAGCATTTTTTTACCTGCTTCGATTGCTGCAATATACTTAACCTCTATAGCTGACAAAGCAACACACTTCTGTAACTTAAACTGCTAAGACACAGCTCTTCCTGCAAAAATGAACAAATATTCAAAAATAAATTTTCTACCATCAAGATCACCTGTTATGTTAGTATCAATAAACCCTTCTAGAACTAGTTATGAAACTCTTTAACTCAAGCACATTTTTGAGGTACCTTTCAAATATCTGAAAATCCATTTCAATGCTTCCTAGTAAACCTTTTTCAGATTAGAAAGAAATCTACTCACTATATCAACTGCATGAGCAATGTCAGGCCGTGTATAAACTATAAGATACATTAAAAAATTGATTGCAGAAGAATAAGAAATACTAGATATAGTTAGTTACTCTTTCTTAGATACTGGATAAGATTTCTTACTTAAATGAAAATGAATGGCAAGTGAACTGCTAACTGATTTTACATGTTGTATGTTAAATCTACTAAGCACTTATTTAACATATTTTTTTTTATGATAACCATAGCTTTTCAACTCTCCTATCTCGGATAATGTCTATATCGAGAATCTGCTTTACTGGACCTTTATCCTTCATGTTAAAAGACTTAGACAATTGTTCTTTCAACCTGTAAACCATACCAACATCTTGTCCCACAATCAACATATTATCAACATATAATAAGAGAATAATGAAGTTACTATCAAAAAATTTTTTGACATACACACAAGGATCCGCTGTCATTCTTTTATAACTATGGTTCACCATAAAAGAATCAAACTTTTTGTACCAGTGTTACGGAGCTTGTTTCAAGCCATACACGTTTTTCTTCAGTTTATAAACTAAGTGATCTTTCCCTTTCACTTCAAAACCCTCAAGCTAATTCATATAAATGTCTTCCTGCAAGTCACTATGCAAGAATGTAGTCTTGACATCAAGTTGCTCAAGCTCAAGATTCAAACTAGCTATTAATCAAGTATCACTCAAATGGAACTCATCTTTACAACTAGAGAGAAGATCTCAACAAAATCGATGCCTAGTTTCTGAGAAAAATCTTTCACCATCAATCAAGCTTTGTACCTTACTAGCTTGTCACTATCATTTTTCAATTTAAAC